CCCCCCCCCCCCCTTAAAATCCATAACAGACCCCTATCTGGCATACAGTTCTGGTATGGAATTTGGAGGGGCCACATGTTGCTTTTTACATTGAATATAGGTATTTACATATTTATATAAGTGGTTATAAAGAAAGGTACCCCAATAATAAATGCAAAAAAGCAACATGTGGCCCCTCCAAAATCCATACCAGACCCGTATGCCACATCAAGCAGCCACATCCACTCATCCCATCACCAGCAGACTCTGCTTCCCCGTTGTGCCTCGCCGATCCTCATATCGCTGGAAGCCTTTGAGCCAGGGTATCCCCGATTCAGACCCCGCAGCCCCTAATGCAGGGGTAGCAAACCTCCGGCCCTCCAGCTGTGGCGAAACTACAAATTCCATGATGCATCTCTCTTGACGTGAATGAGCCCCTCAGAAGACACCACAAACGGTGTGAGGCCTCATCACTTAAAGAGACCCGGTCACCAGAGCAAGAGCCGGTCACCAGAGCAAGAGCCGGTCACCAGAGCAAGAGCCGGTCACCAGAGCAAGAGCCGGTCACCAGAGCAAGATCCTGTCATTCAGTCCAACAGCAATCCTCCCATTATGTGAACATTTCATGTATTTTATGAATGCCTCCCTCATGTGGACATCCGAAATCCCCGAGACTGCTTCTGGGTGCCGCCATCTTGGATGTGATGTCAGCAGCCCCGGCAGACACAGGTGACCCTCTATGGCAGGCCCTTCAGCTGTGGTGGAACCATAACTCCCATCATGCCTCTGCCCCTGGAAGTCACGGCTGGGGCTGTCAGAGTGCAATTGCCTCATGGGATTTGTAGTTCCACCGCAGCTGGAGGGCCGGAGGTTTGCTACCCCCTGCTCTAAATGGCATGAAGCGCCCCGCAATGACTGCAGCTAAAACCTACGTGACCTGAGTTTTGGTTCACACGGGAAAGCTCAGCAGCTGCATTTTCATCACGGCAAGGAAGAGCTTCTTTTTTTTTTTCACAATGTTGTGATTTGGTAATGCGGCCTCTATTGAGTTACAGAAAACGTGACCGGAACGTGTTTAAAAAAAAAAAAAGGGAACACAGGTAACAA